ATCAGAATAGCTCAGAAACATCCTATGGAGAACAGAGAGAAAACAGAAGTTCCTACCGATTCCAGGATTTATTCAGTTTTTGCTTGTAAGCCAACGCAGTGCTAGCTGGATGACAGGACGGTGAGTCCCATTACTGATGGACTTTTCATTACCATAGTTATGCTTTTGCAATTTTCCTAGATTTCTACTCCAGGGTCACATGGTAAGTCAATAGTAGTTATAAACCTCTCAGGGTTGTGATCAATACCTTTGGCTGACGTAATCTAGACTGTTAGAGTAATTTACAATAAAGGACAGTTTGGGCAAGTCTCTGTTTTATTACCTTCAATTCACTAACTGAAATATTTCACTGGTTTATGACTGAAGTTCTTTGTAGTTTTTTGATAGATAGGGAATTGAAATAGTCCCGAAGAAAAAGGTCAAGTTCGAAAAGGAGAAACAGCACAAGTGTCTCCTCCTTTGGGGCATGCTGCTTGCATCTCTTCTATGTCCTGCAATTGGCTGAAGTGCCACAAGAGTGAATTGTGTCTGTGACTACATCTGTATGTGTCCAGCTGTCTAGATGGACAAGAATATGCACAAAGTATTCCTTATCTTCCAAACACACAGCACGTAACTAAAGAAATAATGGTGCTTGGTGCTTAGTCTATCTCTACTGGAACCTTAGTAATCACTAGCTACCTATTTGAGCAAAATAAGGAATAGAAATTATCTCTGGACACCAATACTGCGGCCTGTGCCTCCTATCATTGCACCTTCTCACAACATTCATATAATTTAGGTGAATTGCTCTTTTCTCTGTCTATTGTGTATTCTAGGTCTGAAGGCTAAAGAGGGGCGGGGAAAGACATCCATCAATGGAAAACTGATTAAAGGAACACTGAGAAGCCCAGAGCAAGAAGAGATGGAGATATCCTGCAGGTGTCCTGCACACAGGGGAAGGGTGCCAATGTCTTGTCACTCTTCCAATCTGCCACTCTCTGTCTCATGAATCAGTGTTGGAGGATGAGGTAGAATCACAGCTCCCTACTGTCTAAAGCAAGCTTGAGGTGGAGACTTAAACCTTTATAAGGGTGCTTTCGGACCAATCACGGTCTCCATTTACTTAGGTTTTTATTATCTTAGACTAAAGATAATAATAGTATGGCAAGTACTGAGCAACTATGGTATACCAGGTACCTTTACACACACTCAGTTCTTAAACATTTCGTAAAACGAACAGGATTAACCTCTCTGACTGATGAGAAACAGGTTTAGAGAGGTTCAAAATGTTGCTCAAGATGAGTCAGGGCTTGTTCAATTTGCCCAAGGGCTTGTACTTTTTGTATCTTTAAAATATTATGTTTCTTATACACATTTTACAGATCTGAGATATGCAAGCTTCTAATATTCACTAATTACATAATTTTGTCTCTTTCTTCTGTTAAATTCCTTGGAGTGAGAAAGACAATTTTATATTCCTATTACCTCACAGTGTCTGTTATACAGAGGTGCTTGATAAATATTTAATTAAATAAAATATCAACTTCTTTGATATAATGCTCTTATTTCCTGAATGAAGTTGGGTAGATTAACAATGTGAGATGTCAGCATTCAAACATTTGATGTATTTTTACAGGTTTAATATATCTTTCCTTTATTCCTTTAAGGATGGGATCTCCCCTATAGAGAGTAAATATATAATTGATGACTATATCATGAAATGAAAAATTAATTACAAGGTAATTAAAAGTTCAGAGAACCAAGCAAAACTTTGCAAAAGGATATCTTTTTAACCCTCCTTCCCCAGAAGGTCCCTTTCCCCCCTTTTCCTCATGTCACTGTTTGCTAAATATCATGGGAGCTACATAAACAATAACTTTCCCCATTGTGGTTTAAGACTGAGGATATAAAACTACCGTTTCAGTTCAGCAATTATTTGAGAATTTACTACATGCCGGATACTAGGGATATAAAGACAACAGGCTCTTGTCTTTATGGGGTATAGAGAAGTGATTGAGGTTTCTAAGGAAATTAATCTCTTGACTGAGAAGGAGTGTGGCTGTGTATTGGGACTGGATTTGCTTCTAGTAAAAGATCAGCCCCTTTCTGTATTTTGTAGCACTCAGTCTAAACTTGCGTCTGTTCTAGTCAGCTTTTTCATTACTGTGACTAAAGGATCTAACCAGAACAATTTTAGGGAAGAAAAGTTTATTTGGAGGCTTACAGTTTCAGAGGTCTCAGTCCATAGAGAGCCAGGTCCATTCCTCAGGGCTCAAGGTAAGGCTGAACATCATGGTGTAAGCGTATGGTGGAGGGAAGGGGCTCACATGATGATCAGGAAGCAGAGAGAAGAGAGGTAAACTCCACTCTCCAGATACAAAATATATATCCAAAGCCACACCCCCACTTCCCACTTCCCCCCAGTCACACTCCACCACTCAGTTGCCACTCAATTAATCCCTACCAGTGGATTAATCACTGATTGAGTTAAGACTCTCACAAACCAATCATTTATCCTCTGAACCTTCTTGTTTTGTCTCACATATGAGCTTTTGGGGGACACCTCACATCCAAACCATGAGGGGTCTTTAAAAAATTCAATTTACCAGAAGTGTTACATAATTCTTAGATAACATAGACATTGCTTTTGAGTTCCTTTACCATTCAAAAATATTTGTGGAGAAAACTTGAAGATAGTTTCTCTGGTAATTGAAGGCTCAGAAGAGTGAGCACCCATGCAGATGATAAAAATAGTTTCAAGTGGGCAAGAAGACATCTTTCTTCAGTCCCTACCTGGGTATCTACCTCTGTGCCAACCATAGGGTTACAACTCCATTGTCACATCTTTTGATCCAAGGAATACATCTTGCTGGAAAAGAATACTTAGCTAAAATAGAAATCAGTTGCTCTAGTAGATGAAAGATTGTTAAAACATATGAAGCTACTTTAGCAACTCAAGGCAAACCACCCTTGGAAAAACAGAGATTTCCAGAGATTCAGGTATGTAAATTTTTTAGCTACTGCCCATGCATTAACGTGACTCTACATAGCCAAGTGAAATCAATCTTAGGCTTCCTATGTCATTATGTAAATGGAGTAGGTAATCAAACATGACTAGCAATAACAAACTCTCAGTAACAAGATGTTACATCACTTTATTTTTAACTGTATAATTGATCAGAACAACAACTATTAACATACAAAGTACCATTCAGTTCAACTGCAGCTATAGGCAGGGACAAGTATCTAATTCTTAGCAGTCACTTACTCCCACAATCTGTCCAGACACATTAACCTAAGGACAAGTTCATAAATAGAAAATAACGATTTTCACATTGCAGCTTTCTCAAGCATGTATGTACAGGTGTGCATTCCTGTTGATGGGTGGTTTTCACAAGTTCTCTGTTCTCGATGCGCTTATTCTCTTAACCTTGTAGAGACAGCTCTTTCTTTCTGCAGAGCAGATTTTTTTTTTCTGTCATTCACCATTTACAGTACTCTGTGAATTAATATTACTCTTCACATATAGGAAGTAGTAGAACTGATATATCTCTGCAGCACAGTTCCTTGTGTCGAAGATCATTTGGTTGCAATCATTTCTCCGCAAGGACAGCCGAACTCAATTACTGGGTTTCAGCATAACACACCCTTGTTGCAGTTTGCTCTGTTAACCCATGGCTTTGAGTTCTGGTGATATAATGAGGGTGGGGTGTATTGGCAATTGGTACATTTCCTTATCACTATTTACAGCCATTTAAAATCATGCTGTTATTAATCCAAGTCTGACATACCTTTTCTGAAATGTTCACAGTGCACTATTTTTGTGGCCTGACAATTTTTTTCTTATATCATTAAAAATAAACATTTCTATAAAAATATAATACTTTCAGTGTTTACATCAACAAAACCAGTTAGAGTAATCTACGGCACATGCACTATACAGTAGTAAGCACAAAATTCAACTGAATGAAACATCGCAAAATTCCTGACCAGAATTCATCCAGGCGAAACAGCCAGGATTTTCTTTTCTACACAGGAGCAGTGGTTGAAACCAATGAACCTTTCAGTCAGTCGTATTCTACTTTAAAAACATGCTAGGTTACCTTTAAAAATATTTACCATCACAAATTACTTGTTTATTTTCCAAGTTGGCATTAAAAAAATAAGACAAAATGTCCAAATGTCCACATTCATTTGATCAGAACAGTATCATTCTCAGTTTATTTAAAATTTTTTTTCTTTTAATATATTTTTTTAGTTGTCAATAGACTTTTATTTTAGTTATTTATATGCGGTGCTGAGAATCGGACCCAAGGTCTCATATGTACTAGGCAAGTGCTCTACCACTGAGCCACAACCCTAGCCCCTCAGTTGATTTTTCAATGACAACTAAATATTTCATTGTGATTAAGCTATTTTATTAAAACCTCCCTAATGTTGTCTATGTACAACATGTAAATACCCCTGTTAATTTACAAACATACCTGTGTCATGCTACTTTGAAACTTTGCATTGTCTATGGACATTCCTCCAACCAAAGGAATATGCATACAAAAAATTTGAAAGGGAATGTCTACCTAACTGGTGACTGACAACATCAGTAATAAAAAGTGTTCATGACCAACAACACACAATATTTCTTTTAAACACTAGAATTCTAAATGTGTGGCCTGGTCCTGCCATATCTGTCGCAGACAATATTATCTTTTCTTTTCTGTGATTAAGCAGCCTTCAAAATTTGTTACATCAGTTTCTCATATGAAATCAAGTGGGATTCTGAGTTTTTAGAAATTTCAACCCAGAATTCAGGTTTTGGACTACAATGCAATAGGAGTGTTGTCATAGTGGCAGGGTGGCCATTGGTCACTGGCCTGTGAGACCAAGCTTCTCTTTTTGATACTTTGTCAGATAAGAAATTCCTTAGAATCCAGCAGTTTCAATAACAAAACAAAGTCTTATACTGGTGCAATTTTGGCAAAAAGTAAAAAATACCAAATTGCCTTTCTGAGGCCAGGCAGTGAAAACTGTTGGAGAAAGTGTGGACTGCTGTTAGGGCAAGTACGATGATGTCGCTCAGAAGTGGGTGTGGTGTTCCCATCCTTCACGTGTCCACCACGCCATCAGCGTTATCTTGTGACGACAACAGAGAAGGATACGGGGCGACACACTTCACATTCACATAAGTAGCGTTCACATGGACATAGTGCTCTCCAATGAAAGTGGAGAAGATGGCAGATATCCTGGAGACCAGCTCAGAGAAGGATGGGCGCATTTCCGCTTTGGGGTGCCAACATTTAAGCATCACTTCATACCTGTTTCAGAAAGAAATACTGTTGAGAGACCCCTTGAAGTCAAGTAGTTCTGCAAAAGTAATGCATATAAGAGCTAGCCACAGAAGATCCTGTTGGGATTCCTACTTACAAGGGATCTGGGCAGTACTCAGGTTGTAAGAGCCTTCTACCTTGCAACAGGTAAACCGTGATATCAAAAGTGTTCACATCAGGATAAGGTGGGGCTCCCCTTGTCATCAGCTCCCAGAGGAGCACACCAAAGGACCACTAGTAAAACAAGAAAAAGGAGAATTCAGGTCAGAGAGTGTGACAACACATACAGGAAGGGGAATCAGTAGGTCTTGGTAACTAAGCTTGGCTTAACATTGTCAATACCATGGCTACGGTGGAACAACGGTTTCCTTTAAAGGCAATTATTAAGCTGTACATTTCATGATATGTTTAAATGATAAGGTTTAGTTACAAGTAAATGTAGTTTTTAAAAGGACATCTGAGCTGGGTGTGGTGGTGCATGCCTGTAATTTCAGCAGGCAGAGGTGGGAGGATTGCAAATTGAAGGCCAGCCTCAGCAACTTGGCAAGGCCCTAAGTAACTTAGAGAGACCCTGTCTCAAAATTTAAATCAAAAACAAAAATAACAACAACAACAAAATCAAACAAAAATAATGATAATAAAAACCAACCAAACAAAACCCAAAATGTCCACATGACAATGAAGATTTCATCTGTAGTTGGCAGAGTACATTTTCAAGTTCTCTGTTGTGGAGTCAAAGCACCAGCACATTTCTATCCTTCTCTCTTTCAATAACTTTGCTACAATTTCAGATTATTCATAAAAAGGAAGATAAAGGAAGCCTTGGAAAAGTTAAATTTGTAGGATTTAAAAATGAATGTCCATAGTCTTAAGAAAAGTAAAAATATTTAAAGGTTAATGTTAAAAGAAAAGATCTAAATCAGTATTAGTAAAAGTCAACATTAAGAATCATACATAATAAAACCATTGGGCAACTGTTGAAAACTAATTTCAAAAAATGTAATTTCAAAATGTTAAAGTACTAGATGACTATAAAAGAGCTGTATCAGTACTTCATAGGAAGATCACAGACACGGAGAGGTTAAATGATTTGCTCAAATCCCCCAATATATCTGAATTTACACTGGGATAAACATTTGAGAATTCTTGACCTTTGGGTCTTGCTGGGTCTCCTGAACTTCACTAAATATGCAATTTCTTGATTTAAAGCACTCTAGTCGGAACAGACCAGGTCATGCACATTATCTCTCCCTGGACATGTGCCAAGGTGAGCATGACATAAGAGTAAGTCAGCAAGTGCAGGTCACCCTGTGCAGAAGATCCAGGATGTCAGCTCTCACTAGGCAACGCTTCCAGATCAAGACTCATATGGGGGAGGACAGAAGGCCCTGGTTAAAAGACACTTGGAGGTAAAAGACAGGGGGAGTAGGAAAATGTAAAACCGAGAAGCGAATAGAGCTTACAGTTCTCGGCAAGAAAAGGAATAATGCATGTTTTTGAATTCTATGACTGAAAGAAATGAGGTAGATATTGTACTTGCTGATACAAATCTCCATGAATAGCTTTCCCTTTGCCCAGGTGTAAGAACCTTTTAAGGTAATGAATGCCTTGATCCACATAGAGATCTTAAACCCCTGCTGAGGTGGGAGCCAGGTAACTCTGCTAACTTAGCCTTTCAAAATTGAAATTTTCTTAGCCTGAAAATCCTTATGAGTCATTCTGAGAATTTTATTGTGTTAACCTTCAAGTCCCAGAATTTGTATTAAAATTTGAATCAATTGAACAAGTATCTATTGACCTTTGATCATGTACCAGTAGGTTATCGTCCAAGTTATGGGGTAAGTCCCAGGGCTGATTAAAAGGGTTGAGCACTGTGCAGATATCTGTTCACAGAACAATAAGATAATGCTTGTAACATACAGCAATAATATAAAACAGGTTAAAGCACTGTGAGAAGCCAAAGAGATAATAGTGGGTACTGAGAAAGCCTTCAGAAAGAGTGACAGGAAAGTGGGTCCTAGAAACAGGGAGAATTTGTTTCATAGGTTTGTGTAACATGAGGGCAGAAAGTGTCCAGGTGGAAGGGGTGGGCCCAGAGGCAAGAATACATGTGTTCTTATTGAACCCCAAATACCAGCGCTCACCCTGCTAGATGTGTGGAGTAGATGAGGGGACTCGGGATAGATGAGGTTGAAATGGTACTGTGTAGTGGAGGTTTTTAAATGTTGAAAGTGGGCTACACTGAAATTGGTGGGATGTAGCTAGTTGTGTTCCTGGAGACCTCTGTAAATACCAAGTTTAAGACAAACAGGAGAAATCGGTCCACAACACAGAGACCATTTAGGAGGCTTCTGAAGAAGAACAGGTGAGAATGCACAATATGCTGACACAGAAAGCCAGAGGGGCTTTACTTCCAAATTAGGGTGGTGAAGAGGGTATCCATCATATGGTGAGGCATGCATCATGCCCTTTACAAAACATTATTTTATTTAATCCTCATAATGGGTTGTAATTGGTTATAGTTCTGTAATGTAACTGATCTTGTGGATGTTTTAAGGATGAGGAAACCAAAGTTTCCATCCACTGAGAAGCTGTCCAGTTTTGTGATCTGGGCTTCTCACTGGAGAGCCTAGGCTACCTGCAGGTTTGTCTGGGACAAATTAATTTAGAAAGGGATCAGAGTTGGATAAAATCCTGAGGAACTATAGGACTTGGGTAATAACTGGGTACCAAAGGGGAGTTGGAGGACTCATGGGAGAGGAGAAGTTAGAGAGAGGCAGCTTCCAGGAGAAGTACTGTACTGAACTAGAAAAATATATTTGCAAAAACATACGTGGGATAACATAAAACTGCATTCAGAATATATAAAAGGCCCTTAACTCAATTAATGTAAGAAAAAAATGAAATTAAATTCTAAAACTTAAAAAAAGACAAAAGATTGGAGTAGACACTTTACAAAGATGCTATAAGTATGTCAAGTAAGAACATAAAAAGATGTTCAGTGTCATTAGTATCAGGAAAATACAGATTAAAAAGAAAATGAGGCATCACCACAACCTATTAGAATGGTTAAAATCCAAAAAAAAAAAAACAAAAAACAAAAAACTGGCAATGTGAAGTGCTGGCAAGAATGATGAACGACTGGAGGACAGGACCACATTGAGGAGTTTCTCATAACATGGGGCATAAATTTACCTTCCAACCCAGTGGTCTTACTCTTAAGGATTTATTTTTTATTTCTTATAAAAAAAAAAAAACCCGTCCACACAAAAACTTTTAAGCAAATGTCTCAACAATTATAATTACATAGAAGTAATTGCCTAAAAATAGAACTCAAATGTCCTTCAACTAGCAAATGGATAAATCTAAATATGGTGCATCTGGACAATGGAATTCTACTTAAAAATAAAAAAGAAATGAACTACTCCCTTATAGAAACAGTACCAAAGTAATTCAATTGAACATAGAGCCACTATATGACCCGAAATCCCACTTCAGGGTATATATCCAAAACAACTGAAAACAGGCTCTCAAAGGGAAATTTGCACAACCATGGTCACTACAGCACTATTCACATTAACCAAGGAGTGGAAGAGACCTAAAGGTCCACCAACAGATGAATGATAAAGAAAATGTTGTTTACTACCTTATATTTGATAAAGGGGCTAAAAGCATGCAATGGAGGAAGGATAG